TAGATACTCCTTGAATAACATCTTTAAATCCTAATCTTTTCGATTACTGTTTATAGTTTTACTGCATCTTCCACTATAGGATTTAAATCGACAGTTGTATCTCGGTGCTAATGTGGTATGGCAATTTGAACTAATGAATGTACGTACGTACGTACGAAGTTCTACGTTGTTGCTGACTGACTGACTAAAGTTTATTAAACATTTAGTCTAGATCGATACCAACAATCGAAATTTAATATTTGAGTTGCACTAATCTGATGAAATCTTCAGTATAGCTACTTTTCATTTAGTGGATAGTTCTATAAAAGACACATTTACAAAGTAATTAAAATAAATAGTTTGCTTTTCTAATATGAAGTAGAAATGATAGGAATACATGAAATGCTTACTTATTTCAAGTGTTTATATAATTTGTAACTTAAAATAGTAAAGATCATTTCATGTTTTTCGTTTGTTCATACAAATTATGTTATCATTGATGTACTGAATAATAAGCATCATTACGAAACATTAGTTTGTTTCTTTTTTGATAGAACAATGAGGTCTAAAAAAGTGTGAGATATTTGCGCCATACATTTCGTACCATATTATCACATATATACTTGTCAAAGCATTTTAATGCGCAAGATCATGGATTGATTGAAGTTAGACATTAACATCGTTGAATGTCGGCTCAATAGTCTAGAGGTTAAGCGTTCGTGCGCGAAATCGGTTCTCTAGGTTTAAGTGCAGCATATGAGATCATGGATACGCGCTAACGAGGAGTCCTATACTAAAAAGAAATAGCCTATCTTAGATCGACTCATGAATTCAACTTTTACAATTACTACAATCTTCACAACCTGCGATTCTGATAATAAACTAGTAAAAGTCAATTATCACGATATTCGTCTATTTAAACACTTATTTCATTGACCTTTATTAATTTTCACATATAAATGCTTTGATAAGTATGTGTGAGTAGATTATATGAAATGTATAGCACAAATGTATCATATTTTACTAAACATCAACTCCGTCTTCTTATTGTTCTATGAAAATTTGTAAAGGAGAATAATTGCTATAAATTCCAAGTATAAACGCTTAAAGAGATATATTGGAAAGTCACTTACAATTATCAGTATTGTATTACTTTACTATTAAAGTATTCATTAGATAACGGACTACCTTATGGAATATTGCTCATATGATATTTAATTTCTTTAGATAATCAAAAATACAGAATTATCTGTATTCTGTAATGCATGTACTATGAATTCTCATTTCTAACGTTTGATTGAATGAAAACTACCAAAAATTAATGAGAGGTGAATATCAAGTGAATTTTATTTACTAACCAGGTTCATATTTATCAGTGAATAAAATACTTACTCCTTACATATCGCCCAATTTATTCATTTGACTTTCAACTCAACTTTGAAATATCGTGTGACCTATCTATTTGATTTAGTTTATCTGAACTGATGACCTTACATATAATTTTAGAATAATCAATACTCATTGTGAATTTATTTCAAGCTTATACACTGTAGTTCACTTACTGAAAATCTATATGAGGAATACTCTTTCTATGCTTAACATGAACTCCGACTTTTATCACTATCTATTTATTAATGACAAGTATAGAGAGGATTCAACTGCTTAATTCGTTACTTACTCTTATTGAGAAAATTCACTTCCATTTGAAAAATAAAAATACCATATAAACTGAATAGTATTGAGTGATTGTTCTTGCTTACTGCTCAGCTTCAAGAACACATTTTGCTTAATTGGAAAAATAACTTTGTTTCTTGAATATATTTAGAGTGAAATCTCAGCAAATGAATTTGAAGTAAATCGGCAATCTGGTCCAAGCTTTTTCAAGGAACCATAATCAAACATCAAGATTATCGATTACAAACAGTTAACCGTATACTAAATAGGTCATCTAACCACGTTAACAGTCTATAAAGTGAATTCACTTGGTATTGTTTGCTTGGATCTTCCCATTGATGCTTAGGACTTCAATTGATCAGTCTCTTATTGGTATACGTGGGTTCGAGCACATAAATGATTACATGTTAGGTTTTCCGAGGGAGGGGTATGAGAAACAGTTAAACATTTCGAACATGATATATTGATAGGAGCAACAAGTGAGTAATGCTGAGATGTGTTGTAAATTAAAGTATAAAATAATAAATCAGTTCATCGGGTTATAAAATCTGAACACTCAAAAGAATGGTAATCAATAACTTAAGGCTTTAGGGGGCATTGGTTCATGCTATTTACATCCCCTCTCTTTTGATTCTTACAGTAATTCCCTATTGGTATGCTGATGTGAAACGTGACAACTTGATCTGATATACATTCATTCCAAATATACTATTGAAAAGTTCCAAAACCAGTCCAAAATTGCTATTCAATGCCCATAAATTTTTCTATGGTTTCTTATTTGATATTAGTTCATAATGAAAATAATTTTTCATATTTAAAATGCCTTAGTGAATTTGGATACAATAATACATATTTCTTACTTATTTCAGATTAAATCAGTAGAACAAGCTATACTACCACAAGATATGGTACGATTTATTCGCAGTCAAGATGAAGATGGACGTATACCAATGTTTCAAGAACAATCTACTTCATCATGGTCATTACTAGATTGGATTAAAAAATTCAATATACTAAACAACAATAATAATAATATTAACAACAATATTGTTAATCATGATTTCATTCATGAAAGTATACTTTTACGTATACATATTATAGTACAACCTGAATATGCACATTTCGAAGCTACTGTTAAAGTGAATATAACACAACATTCATTGAATATTTTTCATGTAATGGATATAAGTCGAATTGATCTCTATGAACAACATAATTGGTGTTTATCGGATAATGAGTGGGCAGAAACTAAACAATATTGTATATGTCAAAAATACACTTAAAAATGTATATAACTGTGAATTAAATTATATGTAGTATATATAAATTCTTAATGGATAGGTTGTCTACAGTTGACTGATCACTAGATAGTACTACAGGAGATGGGCTGCAATGCGGATAGCCTTTAGTGGCCCGTTATTTTACGCCAATCGGATCGTACAATATTGTTAACGAACTCAAAACATTTGTGGCCCTATATCTGACTCCATTAATATCGTACGATTCATTACTATTGAAATATACATGTTGCCAAACCTCGCATATAATTATCGACTTAACTCGTGTTAGTGAATAACAGAATTAAATAAGTCAAACACGAGAATGAATTCCAAATACGTATTTCTTACAATCGTTGATCCAGACAAACGAGGAGAAGAAAGTGAAACGAAATGGCGTGTAGTGGTATGAGCCAACTCCATGTAATCAAGAGTTAATCGATATTTATAGTTGAACAAAAATAAATTACAAGCATGTAATGAATAAGATAAGGAGTGAGTACACATACATCCATATAAAAGCTGTTAACGTTGAAAGGCGAATAGTTAACAAGATCAAAGTGTGACTCAAGGTGAATGAATGGAATGGCCTGTCCGGAAGCTAAGACAAGTTATGTGGGCTAACATAGTAACCGACACTACGAGCCCAGTAGTAAATTTTCTGACCTTAAGGTCGGGTGACACGGGATCAAATCTGCCAAGGAGCGTTAGTTCCCTCAAGATTACAGGTACATTTTGCTGTCGAGTGCCAAACAGCAGGCAACCCAGGTTCAGGGTTTCCTGTCGACTACCTCCAAACACCACTTTACATAGATTAACTGTTCCAGTCAAAATAAATCACTAATTAAAATAAGCAAACATATATATGTTTGTTAAGGAAATGTTTAATTTTTATCATGGCATAATTTTATTTGACTGAACATTGGAAATAAAGAAGCACCAGACATCTGTTCAAAACAAACGTTAGGCTTTCATCAAAAGACACTATGAAACAGTCATTATCGTTACTGTAAGTAGTTAGGAACCCTTTTTTACAGACTCATGAAGATCTTTTTTATTGCTCATATCTATTAAACCATACATTGTAGCTACACCTTTGCTGTCTTCAAATGTTGCGTTATCACTTTTGGGCTATGGTGGACTGGACAACGTTTTTTACTTAATGTGGGACTTTTCAACATTGTTTGCTTACAACCTCGTCAAGGATTGAACTCATCTCTGAGTGTCATGACAGACAGTTACTGAATTGACAGACAGTTGCTTTCGGTTAGGCAGGTTACTTAATCAAACTGGGTATGTTGAAACACGAATAAATACATATGAAACACGTGAGTGACTTTCACTGTTTTGTACCAGAAAATTGAGTGTCCCATTTCGGGTTGATGCTTCGTCGTATTTACGGTATCACGTAAACAATACTGGATTAATAATATTAAATTTGTTGTTAGTGACAGAATGAGTTTATGTGAATTGTTTCATAAGCTTAAGAATAAAATGTTTCAGTACACAGTGAGCAGCACTAATGATCAGTTATGTTATCAATTTACTGACAATGACGACAACCTACGTTGTTCGAGAAAATTGTATGATCAATTGGGAAATTCTACTTTTGGACAAGTTATGTGTTTTGACTTACGACAACAGCTCTCAACATTATCACTTGAGAATAACCTCTTCTGATACAGATGAACTTCGGTAAACAATTAAATAGTTAGCCTATCTTGAGAAAACTAACTACATAAAAATAGCGATTGTTTTCAAAGATAAACCCGTGAAAATTTCAGTCCCTTTAATTACTACATAAACAAATGCTATATCCGATAATTTAGAGCGAAATGAGTCAAATATATGAGCGACTAGCATAGATCACCATAAAACATTTATTACTTCTTCAGTATTTTAGTCATTCATCGAATGATATGGGATACAAAAGTATTATTCCATCCAGACTAGTGTAGTATAATTAATGTCTTGAAAATATATATATATATATATATATATATATATATATATATATATATATATATATATATATTCGAAAATTTGTCAATAAATGAATGCAAATATCTATGGGAATTCGAACGCAAACATAATCATTAACATGCCATTCTAGTTGTAAGACAATATTTCATTCATTGTTATATACCCAATTGATATTTCTTTCTATGAACAAATTTATAAAAGCAATGAACAATAATTGAGATTTCCAAAACAATAGTAAAGAACCATTATTATTTTTGTTGTTAATGAAATTACTAGATTTATGGGTAAGAGGCTACAAATATGATGTAGTTATAGAAACAATTTAAAAACTATTGTCTTATATTGACTAATAGACACTTATTAGTCACATTTTATTGAGTTTTTTTTAATATTTAGCTTAAAAATAACTAAGTTGAAATCAATCAAACAAATAAGAAACAAATATTAGTCATAACAATATTACATTAAGTAATAAACTAATTAGAAAGGTCATGTTTGTAAAACTCAAGAGCACAAGCAAATAAACTTTCATTCCACCCCCCCCCCCAATATAATAATCAAACGATAGTTCCCTTATATGACAATGGTTAATACCAATACTACTATTAGTGATCTAAATACTTATAAATAAAGAAGAGAGAAAAGGAGGAAGTCAAGGATGAACGCATTCTGTTACAGTATGATAATCATAATTTATGTTGATGTGTTTGTTTGCATCAGATCTAATTCAAGCATAACATTACGAATTGAATACATACTGAATAAGAATAACATATAGCAGTCATAATTAGCGAGTTATTGGTAATTTGATAACATTATAATAGGGGAATTAAAAATATTCTCTACATAAAATACTTATTGTAGGTTGAAAAACATTAACATGTAAAGGAAAGGAGAGAATAATTTTTTTTCTTTAAACCAAGGAAAAAGTTATTTTCTTTCTTTTTTTCAAATTACTAACTAGACTAAATGACAATAGGGGAACAGGTCGTGAAGAAATAGGACAAAAAAGTGTATTCATAAAAGGTGAACGTCTGAATATTTGTTTGATAAAACTATTTCTTTTCTATAGCTGGTTCAAATGGAGGTGGTAATTTAATGGTTGATGGCTCAACACCCCATATATCTCGAGCATATTCACGTATAGTACGATCAGAAGAAAATTTCCCGGAGGAAGCAATATTCATAAGCATCATTTTTGACCATCTTAGTTCATCCTACGAGTGAAAATAAAGACGTAATAGTTATTATTAATATTGCTATTATTATTATTGTTATTTTCATAAACTTGAATTAATACTAGTAGTAAAAGTATATAAATTCACCCGGAGCTCCTGCAAAGTTCCAAGCCTGGGAAGAGGAAACAGGCTATAGTTAGCAACCCCAACTCATGAAATAAAACCCTACTAAAAAGACCCAAATTAGTAATAGTATGAGTCACTTTTGTTTATTAAATTATAAGCAACGTGGTAACTTGTTTTGCTACGATAAATTATAAATATTATTTGCTAAAATCAGGAGTAGCATTCAGATAACTATCTTTTCAATAAGGAATGAAACAAATCAGATTTTGCTAAAGCAAATAAAATAGTTCTATTTAATTAGCTTCAAACAACTTAGAATATACTCCATGTGCATCAATGTATTAAAGATAGAAGGAAAATTGAACCAAAGAATCAATACGTCACATTAAACCTTGACAGCTTTTTGGTTCTCAATTATTTAGTTAAATCCGTATGATTACAGACTTTCTAGCAATATTTACTTGTACTTCAGTCTTTAACTTTGCTGTTCCGCTTATTTTTTTATTATTAGTGAAGCTATTAGTTAGTACTCACTTGTCTGAGATTATTTTAACTAGTTTACAGCCCTCGAAAAACTACATATACAGGATAAATTATTCTTATTAATCTTCGAACTAATCGGATTAATAGTATGTTAACAGCACCAGATTAAAAAATTACAAAGAATGAAATTGAACACATCGTTTTCATTTATCTAGTCTAAAATAGCGTTATCAATGACCGTCTGAAGATATTTAGTTTTGACTTACTTTGTAAGCTTCCTCAACTTCTTGTTGCACACGTATATAACTTGCATAATCTGCACATAGCAGGAAGCGATCATCGAATGCTAAGCTATTATATATATCTTTAAATAGATGTGGATTTTCCGGAGAGAAGAAGCCATCCCGAATTTGTTCCAGACATAATTTCAATTCTGGTTCTTTTTCAATATATTCTTGTGGATGATAGCTAAAAAAGTGATAAGGCAGATAAAGATCACGATTTGCTGAGTTAATATAGCAATACTGATTAAAATTGTAGTTGACACTTAAAAGATTATCAGTCTATTTTTAGATCAAAATAATAAATAGATAATATAATCAATAATTTGCATTCTAGTCCGGAGTGGAAATCAACTCCACGATGCAGGCGAATCCAGTGGACGAGTCAAAAATGGAAGGAAACACGCCGCCTGGATTTCACTACTAGCCAAAAATCATCTCCATTTATAATAGTTTACATATTTTGACTAAATCACCAAGTATAATCAATCATGGACTAATGTGTGAATGAGACACTGGATTTTTTGTGTACATCTACACTTTACGTGATTTATACCAATCACTTAGTTCTAACACAAAGCAAGTTAAAACTAATTAAGTTGTTAATTAACAATCGGACTATTCAAAATAAACTTAATGAACTAATGTATTTAGTTATATTGAGAAAATATTTGTATTTGAGAAGATCAAAATAGAATTATGCCTAAAAAGCAGATTCATTGAAATACTCACTCCACAAGGAATAAACATATTGATATTAATACTATTTTTAAAATATGAAAAGATAGTAAAAGATGATAATGTAAATACTACCATAAAACTATATTGTTTGACGTTGTCTCTGAAAATGGAGATAATTGAAGACAAATATATTAAAATAAAACTTGACACAAATGTAGCTAGATTTAATTGATCATATTTTGTTAACAGAACAAAAAGGAAAAATAACTAATCAAAGGATATAAGAATAAAGGGAAATAATGGATAAAAACATTCTCAAGATTCTGAAGATAAAACCAGGGTGTATCTAAACCTGAGCTATATCATCTAGGTCTTCAATCTTAAGTCATCCTAAAAAACCATAACAACCAAAGTCTATAACTTCATTCAAGAATGACCAGGCAGAAAGTGTTTTGATAATTTTATGCACCAACTAACTGAGTTGACACAGGTGAACAAACATAATATTGTGACTTACACAATTTACCAAAGAACATAAGCTCAACGAAATCGTTAACTTGTTAAGGAATTAGATATTATAAAGAGGGCACTTAAAAGGAATTAGTAATCAAATACTTTCAACTATGACAGAATTTTCACGTCACAACTACTATAACAGAGACTGTTATTAACACATTCACTTAATTTGAGATATAAATTAACTGTAACAGATTGATAAATATAAATAAGAGCATGATAATTAAAGGAACGAGTAGCAGATAATTCTATTTCACGAGTGACACTAACCAGATCAGATTATTACATATCCCAAAGGGCCGTTTCATGAATTAGAAAATGAGTTAATCAATAAGGGAAAACAATAAGTTTAATTTAAATAATCCGATAAATCTACACATGTTAATTTTGTTTATTGGTTAATGAAGTCTCTAATATCAAGAATAACATAAATAAATTGGATAATTTAAGTATATGGATTACATAAATTTCTGACATTAATGAAACGATTCAACTAGCTTATGCGTGTTAAAATCCCTATTGAGTACCAAGAAACAATATAAGTAAGTCAAATAAACCTAAATTTTAATCAAACATCATTAAATTAAGTGAACTTATTAGAAAGGTAATCTAATAAAAAAATATCAATTGCTATAAAAGAAAAAAAATTTAATACAAGAATACAGAACAGTGAAATATAGGAGAAAGTTGTTATACACAATAATTGAAATTAGAAACATATGTACTAAAACGGGTTTTCAAGCTTTATCTTACTAATGTTTAATTTAAATAGCCCCCAAATATCCTGGTACGGTCGAGAGTGGGGAGAGTCCGCTCTCCCTCTCGAAATACTCTCACATGGCCACACATATATAGCCTCTGCCAGGGAAGTCCTACTCACTGCCTTCTTGTGGCATTACTGTTGTTTACGAAAATGAGAGGAAGAAAAGCGAATGTCCGGCGCTTTAACCGGATTCCAAATTAATGGTGCACATGGGTACCAGTATCCTGTGGGAACAAATGGCGTATGAACCAATTGTTGGTCACCGGCTACCATGGGACTGCATCTCCTTACAATGCTCCACTGCCTTGTGGATCAGACCTTCAGGTCGAAGTCTCATGGGATGGCCCCCTAAGAAAACCACCTGCTTCGGTTTGGGCACCCGGGCAGTATCACAGCCCTCACACATATCAATTGAGATTTGTGTGACGCATATGCGTTCGGTGCCTTCTTGTACCAATATCTATGTGTTAAAATAAATAATTCATTAATTAATTAATTTCAATAATCAATACTAAACTTAGGTACTTTGTATAGATAGTAAAAGAATGACTAGAAACGTGTTTAGTATAGTGATTTTTTTAAACATCGTAAACATATTTTACAGTTTTTATTTAGGACAATCTAATCAACTAATAACAACATGTAGTTGAATTAAGAAATAATACATTTATATGTGTTATTAATTGTGAATAAATACATCATTATTTTAGGTCATTAATAAAGTGTAACTTGTTTTCATATTTGTTATTTCTATCAGTAGATATATTAGAATTGAATAAACAACACAAGTTTACTATTGTCCATAATGACATTCTGTTAACTGGAATGAATTTTATATTTAAATGGAAAAATAATTAATGTTAGTAAATTACTGTTTACTATGATATAAGAGTGAGAAATAATGAATATTCTACACTAGTTAGAATCTATTGAAATCATAAAATTTATTCACCTTAAATAAAGTAAAGACTTAAGTGATAAATGAAATAATTCAATATTCATTATGAGGATGGTGAGAATCGTTTAGTTGGATTGAATAACGTAGAAAAGATTAAGAATTCATTATCAGTGGGTTTGATTTAGTCACCTGTATAACATTTTGGATTGAGTTGTAGAATTGAAACTGACTATACATAATTTCTTCTTATCACTAAGGTAATACTGTCCCATCTTAAACTACACAAGCGTTTTGTAACTCAGTGCATAATGATCAATTTTTGTAAGAGTTGGAAAGTCAAATATCAGCGTCCCATTTAAGCCATTATCTAAAAGTGAACAGTAGTGGTCTCGTCAGTGATGATTCTATATAGACCACTGTCCCTAATAGGCCCAAATGACTCCCGAGTATCACTTTACGCAGAGAGTAACTATTACATTACTTTTAACTAAGTTACATACCACCTTGTTTCTTCATTTCGCGAAATTATATTCGGTTTGGGGTTATGGATCAACCTATTCAGATAAGGCTGTAGAGATTCATCACCATAAATAATCTTCAGACGAAAGACAGCATCTATCCTCATGAACACTGAGTAATCCAAACAGGAGTCATTCTTTTGTCATCCCAACCGTCTGGCTAATTACTTAAGCACACATTTTAATGTCCGTAGAATCAGATATGACAAGGATGAATAACAACTGGAAGGAGCTGGAAAGGATTGCCCAGGAGAGAATTGGATGGAGAATGCTGGTGAGCGGCCTATGCTGCTTTACATGGAGTAACAGACGTAAGTAAGTCGTACATGGACGCTTGTGTGCATATATATATATATATATATATATATATATATATATATATATATGACAGACCCTTTCTAGACAAATATAGAGAAACTAAGATGTACATGATACCTAGTTTATTGTCTAAAAAGGAAAGGAAAATGCAAGTTAGAAAATTCATGTTATTTGCTGAAATGTAGACAGCCATACAATAATTTGATCAACAAGGGAAAAGGAAACCAATAACTTATATAAGCCATAAAAATAAAATAATTTTGACAGTTAGGAAAATAAATGATTGAGAAATCGATACTGTTATAATTTTATATTAAATCTTACCCAACTTTGTGAAGAGCATCAACTTGCTCTACGGTTAGACCAAATACAAACATATTCTCTCGACCCATTTCTTCGCACATCTCTACGTTCGCTCCATCCATAGTACCAACAGTCATAGCTCCATTAAGCTAAATACAGAACAGTATACAGAAATTGTTTCTTAAACATGTGTGTGTAACAATAACATTTCCAGAAAAAAAAACCCATCAATTTTCATCTTATAATAAAATATCACAAACTATTTTAAAACAACATATTAACGATACGATGTTCAATAAAATCATCAACAAAGTCTAAAATTAAATACAAACAATACGGAAGCATAAAACAAAGTGATCTGATAAATTTTTTAACGATAATAATACAACAAATGTTAGAAATTTCAGTGGAAAAAAGACAGAATACCGTTCCTCTCTAGAGTGTTACTTCTAAGAAGTATTATCACTTAAAATCTATTTACTATAAAAATTAATTTAAAATTTATCAATGTTCAAACTTAATAATTTCACTATAGTTAATTGGAATAAGATTAGATCTCATCAGAAAGTGTTCCTGTTTTTAATTTGACACCAATGAATCTGAAATGAAAAATCAGTTGTTTCTGGGTTTTAGAAAAAAAAACTCAAGTGAAATCAATAGATTTTTTGTGGAACCTAAATCTGCTAACGACACTGTTATATAATGGCAAACTCTAATGAAACTTAATCTCTTTTTGATAGAAGAGTAATATTATCAAAAGACCATGACTATACATTTTCTTACTCAGCATTTCAAGAAAGTTCACAACCTTCATTTAGTTTAGTAATTACATTTCGTCTCTTATTCAGCTACACTACATTGGTTTTAAAAATAGTAGTACAACAATTGTCATTGTCTCAATCAAGGTTAGTATATAATCTTTTCGGGATCACATTCTAAGTGTCTTGTTACTAAGTCAAGATGATGTCAATTTCATATAGTTTTGAACAAAAAAGGAAATCTGTCAGCCTCCATTGAGAACACAAATTAATACGTATCCCGTATGATAATAATTAAGAGAAGTAAATACAATAATGTTTGTTCAGAAACAGTAAAATACATTAGAACTACAACTCAAAGTAAGAGAGATGATGTGTTTTACCTTCTAAAATATGATAGTTATTTTCTAACCAAGTATTAAGTTAATGCAGAACTTGGAGAAATAAGAAATTCAAAAAAATAAACAGAATGTTTATTAACAAGTCAATATTTCGCATTTTATGTGTAGACTAAATCTAAACAATTTTAGTGACTTACCATAAATTTCATGTTACCGGTACCCGACGCTTCTGTACCAGCTGTAGAAATTTGTTCTGACAATTCAGCGGCGGGGAATATTTTTTCAGCCAAAGATACACGATAATTTTCAAGGAAAATAAGCTACAATACAAAACGTGTGGAAACAGAGATGGAAATAACATGTATGTTGATTACAAAATACCAATACAGCGTGGTATGGTTGCTTGTTATGTAAAAACTAGGTATATGCAAGCATAAAATTGTTATTATGTTATTAAATTGGACTATATACTGCGGTCGACGTTTTGGCTGCCACGTGTATAAGTTTGAAGTCGAATTCCTAGTGAATTTTTCATGAGATTAACCCCAAAATGGACAAAACTGAATGTAGTGATTTCCAGAAAGTTAAAATATTTACTAGCGAGGAAAAAATTTCTATTTGATCGAGATCATTTAGCTTAATTAGGACGTTAACATTCAATTCGTCCAATTTCTTTAACTATGAATTTTTCAAACCAGAGTAAATACACAGATATCCAAGTGTTCTCGGTTCTTTAACCAATATGTCCATTAATTATGATATAGAACATCTATATTTCTGAATTTGCTAGCTAACAATAACAAACGAGGAAGATTAGTAATACAATTAGTAAGAAAATAACAAGCGTAGAGTCATATTTCAGTTATAGTCAATTAGTGAGCAATTTTTAGTTTTTCTGTAGAATGCCCAGTGAACTACCAAACGGATATAACAATAATTATTAACACTTACTTTAATTCTACCACGTACAACTGGATCATTATTGACAACTTTACCTACAGAATTGATCAACTTGATAATAAGTTTGGCCATATGATAACCTGGAGCAGCTTTACCCCCAATCATAACTGTACGTGGACAGATTGGTATTTCAGGATTAGCTTTAATACGATTGTACAAAGTGATGACATGTAAACAGTTTAATAGTTGACGTTTGTACTCATGAATTCTTTTGACCTAACATTTGGAAAATCAAGAAACTTCCGTCAAAAGGATATATATATATATATATATATATATAATTAGAAAAAGTGGTTATTGAACTTCAAGATAAATAAAAAGATTTTGAAAGATCGAACGTAGAATTTCGAAGGATTAAATAGTTGGCGTTCACTGTATGTGGTAGGAAAGTTAAGTTTAATATGGGTTGTATGATAACAAAGATAGGAAACCTGAGAAGTTTTGACATGTGATGCTGAATCCTATGGTATGTAATGAATATATTGACTTGTCCAGTATCGGAGATATTTTTTGTTAAATGAACCAGATTGATACTTTGAGATAATTAACAGTATGATAATAAAGTCGAAATGAACTCTTTTAGTTGAATGTTTGTTACTAATTTATGCATGTTCTGTATGTAGTTTAGGAATTTTTATCACTAACCTAAAAATAGAAATAGTACAATTGGAAGAAACATTTTATAGCCTACCCCCTCTACATTAACTGTAACCAAGAGAAGGGAATGTTTAGTGAAAAACTATTCGTGCTAAACCCTGAAAACTTAGTGATAAATGCAGAAGAAAGAATAAAGTGCTTCTCAAATAGATAGAATCTCTTAGTAGAAGTTCATGAGTTAGAAGAAATTTACTCATACTTTGACCGACACTTAAAAAATTAAAATCATTCTAATACCAACATTCAGCTGTTTGTAAGAAACAAGTGAACGACCAAACCTTTATTTTACATAAATGATTGGAACACATCAGCAGTACCACTTAGTGTGAAGTGAATGCATCGAAGCGGGTTTTATTACGTGAATCGAAACGTATTTCTAACTAAAAATCTTGTTGAATACACCAATGAGGTACACAACTCAATGAATTAGCATTTGTCTTATGGAAAAAATAGGACTGACAATATCAGCAATGAGATATGTAAGGAGACATTATGACTCAAGTTTAATTCCTCATCACTGGTTGTGTCGTTTCTGAAATCCTAATCTCAGTCGGTTTATGATGCGGTACCAGCACCATTCGATGATTTGAGGTGTCAATCAAAACAAATATCAAGCTAAATACCTATCAAAGACGCCACAACGTTCAAAATTAAGGTCAGTTTATATAATTATTCATTTTAAACAATCATGATATTGGCAATTTATTTTCGAAATAATTACATAATTATTCATCAACATATTTTACCAAAATTAACTGAAGCAAGTAAATCTCACTTGGATATCAAATAGAGATGCTGGGTTGATTGTTACACCATAATGTTGTTCTAGATAAGAAGCAAATTTAGCCTTGTTTTCCCGTTTGATACGTATCAACTGACGTAGAAAATTAACATCATTTACACGTGATTTTAACTGAGCGATTTCGTTAAGGTTAACAATCCATGATTCACTGCCATTCATTCCTTCCATAATTAAGTCTGACAAATTTGGATTACATAATAGCAACCAACGACGAGGTGTAATACCGTTTGTTTTATTCTGAAATTTATTTGGCCATAATTCAGCGAAATCTTTGAAACTGCAGCGAAACAAAATTGTACAGGTCAATAAGGAAAAGAGGATAATCAATGGTGAGTACTGGAGGTATAAGATAAGTCTCAGTTAGTGACTATATACAGAAATAACTATATGAGAAATAACAACATGTAATGGTTATCAGACTAAAAGGTTAAACACCTGCTGACTGTATAGCGTTTCTCTTACAACGAAATATGAGCCAATTTTACTTTGTTAACTTGGATGACATTAAGTAACTATTTAAATAAGAGAAATTGAAATGAGATTAAAACTTTATCAGTAAATAAATTTAACTGACAAGTCACAATTCATTGAGTAGAAACGAACAATTTGTATTGAACAAAAGATATTTTAGCGATTATAATTTAATGCTACAAGGGTTTGAATCATGAGTTTCACATGAGAACTAGAGATATAATTCGACCATTCAGACTGAAGTGGACTGGTTTTTCAAACATGTGACTAAGCGGGAAAAGCCAAGTTCTTGTGCCGCGGAAGCTTTATTACACAAGTTAACAGAATGATTTTATCCCATAGATCCTAAGCTAACTGGATGAAAAACTAGCAGTTAATATTGGATTTGCAAAGAGAGAAACCGTTACGAATGATGACAAACATTAACGATGTGATGGACTTCTCAACAAGAAAAGTATTAGTTGCTGTAATAAAACATTGTAAAACACAATAAATAAAGATATGAACTGACGATGATGGTATCTAAGTGAAAACCAAAACAATTATAAGGAGAAGTGAACTTTCTAGGAAGTAAAATAACTTCTATTCGCGAAATAAAACACCATTTATGAAAAAAATCACACCAACTGCGGAAAAAACAACAACTTTCGCATATAAGAGCACAGAATAGGAATGAGGTGGCATGATATGTTATCATATCAATGTACGTAAAAAACAATAGGCATGAATTCGGTTACGAAAAGCCTCAAAATTATGGACTGAGGATCTTTTAAAGTGCTGGGAAATTTTAAGTGGTATCTCATTTAGATTAACTGACAGTCAGTATACATATCGACAGACATCCCATTTATCAACTCATACTTAAAAAGTTAACTAATCACATGGTTAAAGCTCAACTGAAAAAGACAGTCAATATGAATACAACAATATACGGAAACAACAAAACCAAGGAAGACAACCAATTACAAAGCAAGACAATCAATACGCAAATCCCATTCTGATTCACAAACTGATATTAGCTAGACCACCAGTGAAAGTCTGGAAGCATCTAACCGCAGCATTCACTCATGACTCCCGGAATAGCTCACTAATGACCAGCTCTCAGTTCAAGTATGAAGCCATGACCAGTGGAATTCAACCACATCGGAAGTGAGGCAACTATCCACCGGAAGTAGTAGATAAAAGTTGCGGAATATCTTTAGTTAGTTAAAGTTGGACATGTGCAACATCGGACGCCAACTCAGTGGTCTAGAGGTTAGGCGTCCGCTCACGTGTCTGGAGGTCTTGGGTTCTATTACAGGATGCTAGGTTATGACTGTGTATTGATGTGGCTTCCCATAATAGGACGAAACCTCTATTTAGTGCTTTTCGGTTTCCAATGGAGGTTTAAATAGTATTAGTTCATGATTTGACCTAGGAAAGTTCTACGGTCTCCATAACTCTCCCTACAGTAATGAATGAAATAACTGAAAAGCTACCTTTTAAATGAGGTAGGGCCTGATGACGTCAACAGAGGCGATGAAACATTCTAAATTAAGCGATCTAGAGATCAGAGAACGCAACATCATCAAAAAGTCTATACTTTACAATCCCTATTACTATAAACTATCACTATCAGTCGTGTTTTATTAGTTGGAACTCCGTCACATTGAAAGTTAACTTTTTGCAACCCACATGTAAATTACCTTTAAGCAATATTAAATAATAATAAATTGTGATGACGTGAATCTATTATAAAGTAAAAACTCTTACGTTTGAGTTTTCAATAAGTGCGAATGTATTGCTGCGACTCCATTAACTGTGTGAGATCCTACAATACACAAGTAGGCCATATTAATACGTTTTTCACCTTCTTCTTCTACCAATGACATACGACGAATACGGTCATCATCGTTTGGCCATTTCGCACGTACAATCTAGATAATAAAAAATACAGAAAAAATCAAAGGAAACGTACGATACAGACGCATATTTACGCAGGAACCAGTAAATGTAAATCTGTTGATTTATGTAAAGATAATTTTAGGGAAAGAAATTTCGATATGCATTAGAACACAATTAACATTTCAACTTTTAAAAATATTTTAATTAAGTTAGCTTGTCTGTGAAAATGACATGAATTCGATTTTGTAAAACTTGGGTAGTAATGTGATAATAGAGTTTAATATCTGTTCATGTACTTAGTGAGTTACTAAGAAAAAATTATAAAAGCCCTTGACTTTGCGGGCAAGGTCAAAAAGTGAAAACTGTTAGTCAATAATATTTGGTTGGCCAATTCAGTAAGCTTCCATTATAATGTACAAAGTCTATAGTTATTTGATCATAGAAATCTTGCACATGCTGTCTGCATGTACCAAAAACACAAAAGACATTTAAAAGTTGAAAGACTACTTTTAAATGACGAATGAAATCAGTTGGTTATAATTTTGAATTGATCAAAATCAATGAATAAAGTACATATGGAGAATGACTACTTTGGAGGACAGTGATGATAATACTAAAATTCAAAGTTAAAATTCCAAGGCATTCAGGACCAAAAAGATTGTTTGATTTGTGCTCAGTTATTACATTCCTGTCTGGAATCCTTAAAAGAGCCAGATTGTCAGTCCATGTTAAGTTACATACACGAACTAAATGTACGAAATACTACAAAATGATGAGTCAGAGTGAATGCTCAATGATGTAATTCTGACCAGCGTTTGCTTTGAATTGTTCCAAATGAAACAACTGTCTAAAACAAGTGAGACTGTCGTAGTACCATGAAATCAAAAAGTTAATTAATTTCGATCCATTGTAAAACATAAGTTACCATTTATGCTGCTTTCTGTACCTCTGTTCAACCAGGTGGAGTAAGATGTAATAGATAAAACGTGGCCCCTAGTGCAGTTCAGGACGCATATGTCGTCCCACTTGAGACTCAACAGCTGAACGTGCATGGACTCGAACGCACTACCGTCCACTTTAAACACCATTGCGTTATCCACTTAGCTACATTCGATCTATTCTATATAATAAAGGGACTTTACACAGACATATGCCAAGACTGATCAAATTTCAGTCAAAATATCAAAAATGAGATAATCTAAACCATTTCAGATGCTGCAACGTTCATAAGTACAGTAAACAGAGACAAACCCTTTTAAATTCAATTAAACGTTTGCAGCTGATGAGGAACATAATACATACATTAGTAAACATTTTGTAAAAACATTTAATCTGTTTTTGATGCTCGAACTGTAAGTTTTCAGTCAACTAAACTAAAACTCACCATACCAAACGTTTCATGAGTTAATTAAGCTACTTTTAGGTGAGAAAATACACTGCTGAAAGATGGTGTTCAATTTACTTTATACTTTTCTTATTAGTAGATCTGTGCATATGATGAGTCACCCAGAATTTCTATTTTATAGAAAAGTTAATATCAGCCATTTTGCACTATGTACACTTCATTCATAAAATCTTATAGCAAAATATCATTACATTTGTATCCTTGTATATATATATATAAAGATTCACATTGAAACTCACATCTAAGAACTCAGCATTAATTTGATAGATAATTTCTAAATGACGTGGTAATATATGCTCCAATAATGTGACAGGCCAACGTTCCAATGCTTCAGGCAAGATTGTATGGTTTGTATACGCAAATGTATGGTAACTTATATCCCATGCCTTTTTATGTGTAGATAAAGAGAACATAAGATTAGGTTACGAAATACTTTACAGAATAACCTAAGGAAGATTAAGACACAAGAGTATTTAAGAAGTGAAATATGAAGTTAATAATATTGTAATTTGCATCATATTACTATTATTCACAGTTTGTGAAGGATGTGAATAAACTAAATTTCTTTAATCATAGATAAGAACCCAAAATATTTAAAGTAATGATTAGTTTACCGGTCAGTCAGTCATAGGTAACGTAAAATCTAGCATCTATGTGCTTTGGATCAAGTTGTCAAACTGTATCAGCACAGTGTGATTAAATTATTGGGACAAATGCCAGAGTATTAGCAGCAAAGTATCAGTGTTAGTAGAAAAAACTAAGAATAGTGACAAAAAATAGCGATTTGAGAAGGGGGAATCAATTTGTGGAATCAAAAGTACTGGATAACTTTACGACTCAAGATCTCAGAAAAGATGAAGACTGAATGTATCTACACAATTGAGACTGATTTTGAGACGTCATCCAACTTCTTAAACTATTGGTTATGGTAATCACTCATATAGTCTAAGCCTACCAGCAGTCAATGATTTGATTGGCCGATACTATGAATCCATTTAGTCGTCCCTAGCTTTTTTCCAAACCTGTTTCCAACACCCGTAAACATCATCTGTTGAGGGAGGTGGCTGTTAGACAAATGCAATGCATGATTTTGATTGAGATCATGAATCAATCAATATCAGACCAAAATCGAAAACCTGGAAGCACTGGATGGCCGTTTCGTCCTAATACGGGACTCAACAGTGTACACCCACGATCCCATATGTGGGATCCGAATCTAGGACTTTCGGTCTTACGTGTGAACGCTTAACCTTTAAAGAGAGCAAGAAAAAAGATTGGTGCAGAATAATGTGGGTCCATTTTATTTCGTTAGGTTCTCATCAGCTGCTTACAACCTAAAATACTTGAAAATCAGAGTAATTATAGTTATTGACATACTTATACACAAGAGGGTGATTAAGGATGAATATATGTATCACCACTGAGTCTACATCCAATGATGTTGATGTTTAACTTCAATCGATCCATGATCTTGCTCAACCCTTCATCCATTGTCTGAGGTAGGTAACTGTCTCCAACTTACATGGATATGACCCCACTGCTCACAGCTTCTCACTAGAACTCCAAGAAATACCTCTTGAAACTACTCACTAGTGAACACATGGTAATTATCAGCATGGGTTTGTGATGATTGAGTTTTTGATTGAGATCATGAGTCGATCAATGTTAGACCACCATATGTCTTAACCCCTCTAATCGATGAAGATTCAATACCTCATCAATTTATTTGCCATCGTCGTCTAATATACATGTGTTTATCATCAGCATATTTTACTACAACATACTATATTACCAATTACGGTGTTTGTCAATCTTTCTCTTATATATTACCACCTTTGACCCAATCACTGCTATGAATCCGGTGTTCATCTTGTTGTGCTGATGCGGTATGGCAACCTGGACCGATGCACATATGTGCCTGGTCCTACGTTGTAGCTGACTGACTGACTGACGGTGTTTGTTAGGTGTTATAATATTCAATCACTTACTGAAAGTAATCAAAATGGTAATACGGCTTCCGGTACATATTAAGATTTGTCTTCCCGGACCATATACATAGTATGATAGCTATGTTTATTTTCAATGAAAATAACCAGGCTTGGTGACCAAACTCGTACATTTTCGTGATTAAGAGAGATATCACTGTATCATTGTCGGGTGGAATACTACATAAACTCGAGTCAAGATCAATCTTCCCAAGTAAAATGTGTCAGTGGTTTGACATATTCTTATTAGTGCCGTTTCGTAGTAGAAATATAGAATGGTAGATAATATTCTGTCTATTTGAAAAAAGAATTTCAGGTGTCAGAAACTTGAGTGATTATTTAATTCTATGTCAGAAACTTACTTTTTTCCACTCTAAACCTTCCAAGTCAACTAAGATACGTAGTAATTCAGGAATTGCCAGTGAGGGATGTGTGTCATTCAATTGGATAGCAACTTTGTTGGGAAATTCATCAAACGATCGATGGTGGGAATCATTACTTCTAAAACGCCGAATTATATCCTGTAAAAATGAACAATTAGAACAAAGGTTATTATAAGCATAGATGAATCAACAACAAAAGGGATTCTTTTTTATAAACTCAACATATTAATGCGAATTTTATTTTGATGAATTCGGTAACATTGCATGTTGGCTATGTAACAGGGTTGCTAGGTAAAAGCAAATTATACACAGTATACTTACAAAACACTAATTACAACTATATATATATGTCTTGAAAATGTGAACCATAGAGTTTAGACTCGATGGTCTAAAACACTGTCAGCTTATATTTTATTCATGCGAGTCACATAGAAAAATGGAAGAGTTGGTTTCGTAAGATTTGTCTTTACGGAGTTTTTATATTACAAAATTAGGTAGAATGCTTTCAGGATATTACCTGCAAAGTGGCAGCAACTAAGAAATACTCTTGACGAAGGCGAAGTTCCTTCCCAACAAAGAAATTGTCATTTGGATAAAGAACTCTGGATATATTTTCCGCATGATTACGTGCACATACAGCCTAAAGCAGAGAAAAAATGAAAAGAATCAGAGTATTTCTGGAAGGGTTAAATGAGTGTGATGAAAATAGAAAAGCAAACATACTACGATCTTATAAATTTTCACTTATTTTCACAAAAAAGTATGTTTTGTCTTGCATAACGCTGGAATAGATAATAGCATTGAACAAGATAAAGTGTGACTAAAAGAGGTAACCTGCTGCACAGGAATCGAGTTAATATTGTTCAATAGAAAACTGCTTAAGATGTAACCGAATACAAAATGGTATTGTTTCGAAAACCATAATTGGCAACAGTACAGGACATCTATTCTGTTTAGACTGCAATTACATAAAATGGTAGTTTCAATGTCATTATCAATATATCAGTTAACGGCAAACAAATTCATACTGTAACTAACATTGTTTTCAGCCAAATCAGTTATGGTAGTTAAGAAATTTCAACAGATTTATAAGAGATTTTGTACAAATAACAAATTATCTTACGTTTATGTAATCACCCATATTAAATATACCGAGATCAAAACTTTTTGGAGCTTTGGCAGACCACAGCCGAAGAGTATTGCAAGTGTTATTTCTATACCCTGGAACTGGGGTGTCATAGGGCATTGCAAAGACTGGATGAGCATCAACCCATCGTCTACGTCCATTTCCAGCATCTTCAACACGCCCGTAAAAGTTGACAGGATAGCAATATTCTGGTCTACCTTTTTCCCAAGGGTTTCCAAAGCGTAACCACTCGTCGGGTTCTTCAACCTACGTACAAAGTGAAAATAAGGGTAAATATGCGATAGACTTTAGGCTAGAACAACCCTAGAATTACTAACTCTTGTGCATTTGACCAACAACAAACATTGTAAGTCAAAATTTTCTTTGCTAATTTATCCTAACTAAAAAAAACTTATGCAAGACTATATATATCATTTACCATAGGATTTTATATAAGGCAATTATATCTTGAGGTAGCTTGTGGTAACAACGGCTATCACAACTTCACTTTAAATCAGGATGAGACAGCTTCTTTCTCTTACTTGTTGCGATTACTGCATAACGTAAAATTTGTAAGGACGATTTATTCGGTAAGACTGCAGATGAATTCGAATTACTCTTGAATTTGTCTAGTTATAATAAGACTAAATTCAATAATTATTAATTAGGGAAATTATTGAGTCAAACAGTTGTCACTTGAGCACAAAATAATATGAAATTAATGCAATTGAATAATATACTTATTAAAAGTCAAGTGAGCAAAAAATCACAGTTAGTTAATTAATATAAATCTAATGAAATACTCCGCAACCCTTGAGATGAATTAATCCACGATCAAATGAACAGACATCATACTGGATTAAAATGAACAATGAATCTAATTTAAAAATCAGTGCTTGATCCTTCACCTAATTTCTTTCTGCTAAATCGTATTTTGGAATTTATATCCCGAAAGTAAGGGTTAGTTCAGCGCTTGTTTTGATTTTTTATTATGATATACAGTTCACAAGTGTGCTTACCTGCCAGCCATCGCGAATAGACTGTTCAAAAATGCCATAATCATAACGGATGCCGTATCCATAAGCGGCCAACCCTAATGTTGCCATTGAATCCAAGAAACAGGCAGCTAGACGTCCTAACCCACCATTGCCAAGACCAGCATCAGACTCCATTTCCTCTAGTTCCTCAATATCCAGTCCCAACTGTATTCACGTAAGCAAAATCAGAAAATAAATACTTTAATAGTTATTTTAGACAGACTATCTGAAACTACTCACTGACGAAAGCTCTTATGAAGTGACTGATTAATTACAATGACATAAAGCAAAACACCACCACATTATTTTAAAACACTTTTGAATCTTGTTTTGAGTATAGTTTCGTTATCCATGTGAAGGGTATTGTTGGGGACGTACCAAATTAAAGAAGTATTTGGTTACATTTCAAAAGATAATGTTGACAAACAAAATATGGGTCTCTTATGTATACATCAATGTCTATCAAAAATACACCAAAATACTTCTGCCAAACATGAGAATACACTAAATAACAAAGAAAAGACATGGTTATGTAAATCAACGGTTTGTTTGTGTGGCAAAGATACATTTAAAGAGCTTTCTGATATCTCCTTTTGTCGTCAAAGCCCATACACTCAATTACGTTTTGTATATGGCGACAAAGCGTTTTCATGCATGGTGTCTGTATGCGATCGACAATAATCGGTAGGAGAAATAAAAATGACACTTAGTGAGTACAATTTTCAAAATGTTTCTTTAACGTGCTAAAGACTGAGATGAATGATCAAAATGGTCATTATGAATTCAAATAAACGTTGAGACAATGAACAAAGTTGAAACATTTTACTGCTAAATGTGGCTAATCTTTCTGGAGTGTGAACCTCTCAGAAAATAATGGTGTAGGAGAAAGCTATGGATCAAGCTCATGTAATACGCTATCATCTATTGTTTGCTTAAATTATGCGAAGTGAACCAATAATAATAGGTATTGAGTGGTTTAACACGGTACTACTACGCTTCCATTTAATTTTTGTATGGTGAAGAACGGATTTAATTGCATTGAAACTGACTAGTGACTTTTATTAATCAGTTAGTTTCATATCTAAAAATACATAGATCAATGAAAAATTGACAATTAACCGTTAAGACTATGGTTTGAGGGGTTTGAGAATCTCACATACTATTTGTGTCAATAAACGAAGCGCTTTACCTTTGTATTAGATCTACATGAAATAACCCTATCAGCATATATATATATATATATCACCAATGAAATGCTCCTTAGTTGTAGTAAAGTTACAACTGAAGTAAGTCTTTGGTTCACTGATATAAGCACGGTTTTAAACCTTACTCAACTTCAAATTTCGGTAAACCCAAAAAGACCTGGCTAGTCATTACATTAAGGGTTTATAATGGTGTAATTAATTGTACGTTTTAAAAATTTGGGGGTGGCCAAATTGAAATATGATATTGCTCTTTGAAGCCATTGATCTCTGTTAAGAGAGATTTAAAACTTGAACTTTCCAAGATAATAAAACTCACTTGGTACATCGCCTCATCTACTGCAGCAGCAATATTTACATTCAGCATTGTATTGGTCAAAGTGCGGCCCATGTAAAATTCTAAGGACAAATAGTATATGCGCTGCAATATGAAAACAAGATAGTCATTTTTATTTGTTTGTAGTAAGATAACAGGAATAATAATACTGATCAACAGAATCCAAATTGTTTACAAGTTTGTACACTAAGATGAAGTGGGGAGGGGTTGAGTTCAAACGATAAGCACGTGGTTAACGAGATATTTGATAGGTTAATCTTCTTGTGATTAAGAGGCGCATCACAAAAATAAACAACACCTCATTAACATCCTTTCAAGTTAATGAATTATAATCAATTCGCACAACATAAAATGTTGTTCCTAAGATAGTAGCACATTTACGTAGTCAGTGCCGGATATTGAGTCGTAGCAAAGCAAGATTTAAAAGGTTTCACTAGTGAGAACCGACCTCTTAAAACTATTTTGTCAATGTCTAACAAGATGGGATGATCAGAAGAAACATATAATTTTTACACAACCGTTTTTAGTGCTAAACAAAGCAGTCTAGCGAAGTGGCTCATTACTTCTTTAAAAATGGAAGAAAATACATCACTTTTGATGTCTGCACACGGAGAGACCTCGAAAATCACTATAAAGTAACTTTAATTGTGATTTTGTAGTTTTAGGGTACTTTATCAAAGGATTGCCAGGTGTCTAGGTCAAAAGAAACGAAGTAATCACATCGACCACGTGAGTATTAAGACCTTCGTGTGCTTTGTATATCAATTTCGACCAGACAAGGAATCAGAATAGTTTTAGCAATCCATAAAGTATAAAGACAACTACTATCAGTGAAGGCAATGAACCATCAGTTAAATCAGATTTTATTTGAACCTTAGTTTTAAAACGTAAGTAAATTCTGTATTCGATTGCCAATAAGTCGTTCCACTATTTTCACCATCACAATGTTTGCTCACATGGAACTTTGTCTCACTGAAGTGAATTACATAAATATTGATAGTAAGCTTATATACTTATTTGTTTGTTTGTTTGAACACATAAATATTGGTGCAAGGGGACACCAAATATATATGCGCGACACAAAACAATGAGAATGAGAAGAGAAAAAGAGAATAGCGACGAGATTAGTGTAAGGTAGTGTAAAATAATCATAATGATAATAATAGTAATGGGGGTAACGGAAAGGTATAATAAACTGCCAAAAATGCTTATATTTCGAAAATCCCATACACCGAAAGGACCATAGGTACATATTACACGTTCTGCTTAAAATGTGTGGTGCATATTTCAGCCAGCACAAATTACCAACGAAGTAACATGTCAGAATATAGTAACGCTTCGCATAATTTTGTCATAATTTTAGGTTGCCAAACCCCCAAACATTGCAGGTTTTTAAAGACTTGTTCATTAGTCCACTGATCAAAAGTGTTGAAAACACCATTGTTTTTTAATACAAAAGCCAACATTTTATGATTTTTTAAAGATGAGAATATACAAACGTTCTGAATCTGAATCACAAATAGTCCGTGACAAACTGCAATCGTAAAGAATTTCGCCTGTTGTTTGCTCACTTTTATACAGAAGAATAACTTTACTATAGGAATGATCAAAATAATCTTACTTCACAAATAACTTATTAACGCAAGGGAGTTAACTGAGTCTTCCTAAGTCGAAAAAAAACAAGAAATTGACACTTCAAATTACGCAAAAACAGTAAGATATCAAAAATATGACTAACCTTTGGATCCTCTCTATGGTAAAACTGCTGAGATCGAATCCATCGAGAGCACAGATGATCCCAAACTGTACGTGCTAACGCTTGGTAGAAGTCGAGGGACGTTGCGACGTTCCTATCTTTAACACCATCAAAATGCAAGTGTCTGTTGAAGTCAGATTTAAGATTTGTCACATTTTCCAACTGAGCAATCCCTCTAACACTTATTTGCTTCCTTTTCTCAGCATCAGACAACATATCACAATTTTGTAGCTTCAAAAACGTTGAATGAGTTGATGCAACCGAAATAGTAAAACAAATAGTGCTTCAGCAGCATTTAACAAACTACATTGAAACTCAAACATAATGTTTTGTGACATTTTGTCGCTCATTAACCTGAAAGTCTGAGTAAATATCCTTTCAAAGTGTTAAAAATAATCTTTTAATGGGATACTGAAAGTGAACGGATAGCTTTTGGTTCGAACAACAGTTTAATAGAGACGAATCAAAGTTTTATTTAGTAGGGAATCACCACAAATATAATTCCAACTCTTAAACGATATATATCGCAGAAGCATTTGAACTCTGAAGGGCACGACTGCCAAGCCAGCGGTACTACGATATTCTCACATTAGACAATCACGATCAGGTAGAAAGCTCTTGTTTAGAAAGCGACGGCAAGGCAAAAACGGTAGGCTCCTTCAAATCTGTCCGCTTTTCGCTTCAAAAACATTGAACTGCCTGAATAAATGCGGTCATTCCATATTTCAATTGCCGTGTCTGTTGGGTCGTATGAGTAATAAGAATCAAATATCCAAGTCATCTTTTGCTGCATGAAAAAGCACAAAATAACTGCTAAGAACATTAATTTAGCATTCTCTGTTTTGCAAAGTACACGTTAGCTCTGTTGTTGCTTCGTAACTTGGTCTATAGTCCCACAACACCTTTATACAATTTGTTGATAATGTCTAGAAAACAACGTAAGAAAGATAACATAAAATGTTATAGATACGCTTTTGTGAGTCACTGTTAAAGAAGTGAAGACGAAATGTCAACACATCGGTAAGTCCTAAATACTTGTTGTACTTCTTTCAGCTATTTTTTTCAAGGAATAACTTTTTTTGATAATTAATGCGTGTTGCCTGTAATGCTTCATGCCAAGGAGAATTTCAGTGGACGTAAGAGAGGCGTTTCAACGTATTATGCTGAACAAGCGATTCGGAAGCTGTATTGAATTTAATAGTGCGCTAAAGAATTTCCATAAAGTATGGAAGAATAATTCTACGTTTTATCAGATTACCCATACGCACTATGTTCACGCAGAGAATAAATTTTTGAAGGATATGAGATAAAAATACTTGTTTGTGGTGTTTCATTGCACGTTTGGTCGTAAACGTAAATCAGAAAGACTGACAGTGAATAAAAAACGTGAGGACTTTAACTAATCTGTGGCATTTAAGGTCTAAGTTTTTAAACCGCCAATATAGGTTTCGTATAAGATTGGAAGGTGAAGAATACGTCATAAAATCTTACAACATGTCTCATAACCATCTTTGTAGTAGTTCATAGATGGTTTGTGATCCGTGGAGTTGAAGATTGTCATCCGAAGAAAAAGAAAACTTGAAGCCAGTAATATTGCACTGTCAGTCAGCAGATGAGGTTGTAGAAAGTATTAAAGAGAGAATAGGTAAGCAGGTTACCACTACTGATGTCAAAGCTATGAAAGGTAAACTCTCCACTGGTAAGTGTATATTAATATATTCCAGGTTGTTCTCGAAAGAAGGTAATGCATATGCTGCGACAAAATGGTGAAGTTAGGGAGCATGTAGAAAATGGATATATCACGAGAATATGCTTCAGCAGTTAGGACCAGATACAGTTGTACGATCAGTATCCTAAAGTCGTGTGTATTTATTCGACTTATAATACCAATAATAAGTGATTGCGCTCTTTGTTACATGACACTTCGTAGATATTCCTTATACCAGTTGGTCGTAACAGATAATTTTGGTCGTGGGCGGCCTGTAATGTTTTGGTGGACGAAAACGGAAATGCGCGCAGATGTTACATTTATTCTAGAAAAATTCAAAGAGGTTGTGGGAAATACATCGAAAACGCATACCTTTCTTATGGACTGCGGAAGGCATTATGGAGTGGATCTAAGCACTTGTCAGTGCAATTGTAGAATATTTATTACGTGTCAATATCCTTGCCACCATCTGCTATTGGCATATGTTAAAAGACGAACTCATACAGGTAAGCTTAGTCACTTACGAAATATAAACTATATAGCCCATCAAATTCTTGAGCATTGTTGTAGATGGAAGTTAGACAATACGCACAGCTTACAAAGCAACACAACGATTTCATTACCGAGACGTAGTGAATAATATATACGCAAATTCAACGGCTCCAAAAAATGTGTAAGCAACAAATTATTGAGAAATATGGCGAACCATTCGCGAAAGACGTGGAGAGGAAAGCCTACAATTTCCACTTAAGAATTATAAAAAACTAGACGGCACATTCACGATAAAAAGTTCTTTGTGGCCTTATTTTTGACTTCACTATATATACAACTTGTAAACTTATCTTTCTACTATATTAGTCATAACAATTCAATAAACTTTTTCCTAATTTTTATTCCCGTCTTCTTCATGTTTTCATGGCGAGGTATACCAATCGTTTTAACGAATAATTGTGTGTGAGAATTATGAACTTGTACTACTGAACTAGTTTTTAAATGTCGTTAGAACTCAGAGTTATATCATTGTTAATTGTGACTACGTAAAACTTTACAGATTAGGCAGCCGCCTGACATATTTTCCGTTGTCAGATTACATCTATGATCCTGAATGTTTCCTTAAGTCCAACACCATACAACCTTTGACCTGTTCAAGCATATATATATATAGTTATTATTGATAATCTAGGTCATTCCGATTCTTTGCTTTCTATTATGTCAATTGTTTCATACTATTTCTCACCTCAATCTTAAATTATAATACATATTTAGTTGCATACAGCTTGTGAGAAAACACGAAATGCAATGCAGTCACATTATTCTGCATCAATATTTGTTTTGGCTTTACATAGACTATAAGTATGCATACTTAAGGGATGTATAACGTTAAACAATGGGTATGGTTGTTATATTTATATTTAAATAATTCATTAGATGAATGAACATGGCAGTAGGCAATATAAAAGTTATCGTAAACTTGTAATCCGGTTTTCCACACGATCTTCCATGAGCTTCATAATTTTCTGAAAAACAACAAATCAGTCTTGAGACAAACAATTAAACTTCGTTATCAGTATCACATTCAATAAGTTAATAAAATATCAGGTAACAGAATGTGCCTATAAGTCAGTGCTATTCATTAGAGATTTTGGATTCCGTTAATAGAAATCCATTGGCAATCTTTAGAACAGACACATCACAATTTAGTGTTATTTACAAATTACTGTAGTTACTGTCATCACAACATACACACATCGTCCGACTTATGAGGAAAATGCGACTGATTAATGTGGCACAAAGGAGATATGAATGCTATAAATTTTTGATTTAGATTTGATCACTCGTCCACTTTTCGTCACGTATTTTGCATGAATTACTTTGGACTTATGCCGAATCAGTCTGTAATGGAGTAGAAATTCAAGAATTAACTCATTAATAGTTGTTATTTGATTCTAGGGTTGTGTCGTATCAAGAACTGGGAGCTTCAAATCCCCATCATATAACTGTGAACGCTTCACAGTCATATGACATTTTTTGTACCAAGTTTATGATGTAAATGAAATGTTAATGCTTTCACAGTTCATATTGCCTGAAAACTCTGATTTTAGTATATTTAAGACTTCACTAGCTGGTGACAATAAGCTACTGGTGGGATGCATATATAGACCACCTCATGCGGATACTAAGTTTGACAGATTACTAACAAACATATTTTCCATTGCTTCGCATCAACCGCATACTTTTAAAATCATCGGAGGTGATTTTAATCTGCCAAAAATTACATGGGGCTTGACTCCGGTACCAGGTCGATATAACAAGCTAGTTGAAACATTAGAAATTTGTGGATGGGTTCAACAGGTCCGAAAACCAACCAGGGGGAATAATACACTTGATTTAATGTTCACAATCAACATAGACTTTATCTCAGTGCATACCAGTCATGAGTTTTTTATGAGTGACCATAGAGTTGTAGTGAGCATTATTCACTCTTTAAACGCCATACAATTGAACTCTAAAGCTACAATGACGTACCAGAGCAGATATTTTGATCAACAAACATGGAAACGGACTGAAACTCTCATTCGATGTTTACCATGGGAAATTTATTTTACCACAAATAATGTTGACATTGCGCTTTCCAATCTATATCACAACCTGATATATTGTCTTGACTGCACTGCTCCAGTTATTAGCCGTGTGGCTTATAATGCTAATAGGGGCCAAAATACTTTTAAAAGAAAGCTGAGGAAATTAAAATACCGCTACTATGAGCAGAATGATGTGTATACACTTCAGAGTATACTTAAATTAATCGACAGAAATGCTTCATCTAAACATAAGTATTTCAGGAATATAGAAAATAAAGCTCTACGTAGTAAAAGCCCAGAATTATCAATACTTCGACTTTTTAAATCCCGTGTAAAGTCAAATTCCCTTGGCACGACCAAATTCTTCATAGTTAACGGAAGCATTGTTAACGACCCGAATACTATATGCGAACAATTCAGCAAGCACTTCTCGCAGTGCTACAAGACTAGAACTGAAAGCTCCATCATTACATTTCCAATGCTAACATCCAGACATCTGTCGAACATTGATTTCACACCCTCCAACATCAAGCAGGCCATAACTGCCCTGAAAAAGTCTTATGATGGTGGACCTGACGGGATACCTACATCATTTGTGAAATATGGAAGTAAAGAATTTCCACTATTTTGTTTGAAACTTTTCAATCTATCTATGGAATATGGGACCTATCCATCTGTATGGAAAACATCCCTTATCACCCCTAGATTCAAAACAGGACCACGTAGTGATATTATTAACTATAGGCCAATTAATTTGACATCCGTGCTCTCAAGAACCATGGAAAAAATCATCCACAAACAGCTACTATCATTTTTACTTTCAGCTAGTCTGATCAGCCCATCCCAACACGGGTTCATGATTAAACGCTCATGTTTCACATCGCACCTGGAGTTTTTTGATCAAATTACCCAGAGAAGAGATGTTGGTCAGTCAGTGATAATTCTTTACTTCGATTTTAGTAAAGCTTTCGACAGTGTCTCACACAAACTTCTTCTTTTAAAACTCTCTTCATTTGGCATACAGAATCCCCTTTTATCTTGGCTCAAATCTTTTTTAGAAGAACGTAGCCAAATCGTTCGCTTTGGATCTTGCTACTCTAAA